CTATCGTCATTTTCCTCTACTTCTTTTGTATGTTTGTCACACTCTTGTGACCTGCTGTTTCCGGGGTGCCTTGATAGTCTAAGCAGACTTTGTGCTGTAGAAGCTAGAAAGGTGAGCAGATTAAGTTTGATTCCCTGTAAGGACTTCTCTGTTGACATCCACCCCTTGGCGCTCATGTGATCTTATGCAGTTGCGAGTGCCGTAAAACCGCTACTAAAACCTCTAAGACTTCCCAAAGTTGACATCTATTTACCCTGTCGAATGCCTTTTCTCGGTCCACGAAGACGATATTGAGGTCTTGTCATGTCCAATGGCAGTCTCACACAACTGTCCGACAGCAAAAAACCGTCAGTTCCGCCCTTGCCTTTTCTGAAGCCAAACTGGGATTCATTGAGTTGAGTCTCTACAATTGGTCTCATTTTCATTTCCAGTATCTTGGCAAACGTTATATCCACACGGCTGAGAAGGGATATTCCTCTGTAGGCTCTGTGTTGTTTTTGTCGCCCAGGCCAGGTTAAATAATAATAATAATAGATAGCATTTGTATAGCGCATATCCCCGCTCAACAGCAGGCTCTATGCGCTTTACACTATATTATCCATAGCCAGAGTTCTCCGATATGGCTGTATAGTTTGATCTCTTCTGCTGTGATGTTTTCAACGCCTATCGCTTTGTTTGTGAGGCTATTCTTTATAACATGTTGGGTTTCAATCTGCAGTAGTGATGGTTCTGGAGTGGTTTCTTTTGGTGAGAAGCTGTTTGCTGTTGTTTCTGCTGTGGGATTCAGCAGCTCCTGGAAATGGCGTTTCTATCTTTCCTTAATCTTTGGCTTTCTGAAAATATGGTTTTCTGTGCTCATCATTGACTATTTCAGTTTGGTTGAATGGTTCTTCCCGCATCCTCATGCTTTTTTAACTCTCTAGTAAAACTCTCAAAGGTTTTCTTTACCTTTTGTTACCTGCTGTTCTCCATATACTGACCAGAACCTGTTCTTAGCTTCTTTTACTACCCTTGATGTATATCGGCGGTCCTTTCTGTATAGGATGTAATCTTCCTCCGTCTTTGATTTCGAACACTTTTTGATTGCTTTTTTCTTCAGTTGGACTTCACTTGGTCATTCCACCATATAGTTGTTTTCTTTTTCAGCCCTCTTGTTTTCCTGGTGCCGAACTCTTCTTTTAATGCTCTGTACACACATGCTTTGAAGTGGCTCCATTCCTCTTCCATGTCTCCCAATTTTGGGGGAAATTTGTGAAATACATCTTTCAAACGTTCATTTATCTTATCCTTGTTATTGTCATTTATATTTCTGAGATTTACGACTTCTCGTCGTTTCTTTGCTTATGGCCTTTTCCTGTTTGGTGTGTCAATAGTCATGATGACTGGTCTGTGGTCAACGTCTGTGATGTAGATGGGAATCACTCTGGAGTCTCAGATTTTTCTCAGTTTTGATCTTTTGGCTAGGATAAAATCAATTTGTGATGCTATCTTTAGATCATTGCATTTGTACCAAGTTTTAACTTGACTCCTTTTGTGTTGGAAGAAGGTATTTGATATGACGAGTTGCTGTTTTGATCTGTTTCCCTGTCACTGTGTGGCCGCATGTATCTCTCCCCCGTCGTCTTCCTTGTGTCCACTCTGCCGTTAAAGTCCCTCATCATTGTCACATTATCTTTGTCATCCACGGTGTTTAAAAGGTCACTCAGTTGATCATAGAACCGGTGTCGCTGTTCTTCGGGATATGAGTCATTGCATGGTGTATAATATATATATATATATATATATATATATATATATATATATATATATATATATATATATCTGTATTTGATGACCCTCAGTAACTGTCATATTCTATGGTGATTTCCCGCTTTATACCATACTCGTTGAATTTTTAAAATATTCTTCAAGTCTGTGTTATGCTTGGGTTTAACGGCACTTGTAACACAAATAGGTCATATAATCCCCGAAGATTAGAGGTGTTACAAGAGAGCAATATACACAGAAAAGAGCGAGGAGAGATAAGGACGGTTGATTGTTATTCATTGTTAATAGGGAAAAAAGGAACAAACCACACCCCAGAGCACCCGCCAACCTCCTGCTTGAGTTATGCATGTAAGATTGAAACTGCTTTCAATTTTAATCATTTTTCCCCAATAGCATGTTTCAGAACTCTCTAAAACAAAATAAGTGATGTTTTTCTTCTGAAAATCGGACCATTATTATGGAAAGTGTGCCCGTTTCTCTATTGGGATAATAGGCATTGGACTCCCGACGTCACGATTATGACGTAATTAAACGGTAAATAGAATTTTACTCTTAATGTACTTGACTTTTATTTTTATATATTGATTCTAGATAAAACAGCAAACAAAATGATACCTCAATGGTCACGATACAACTATTATTAAGGATTTCATGACGTTGTGAAGCAAAATTTCGAGTTTTGGTGGCACAAAATGCAGTGCAAAAATTTGGCCAAATCAGGGCGAAAATTGATTCACAAAAATGGTCGCTGTTTCTGAACTAACAAAGA